AAATTTACACTAGAATAGATTCACTAATGGATTAAATATGGATGCTTTTATAAAGAAAAATTATTTAATTAACATTAAATTTTGATGTAGAAGAAGAATCAATTTAGTCAATCTGAAAATATATTCAAAGCAATATTTGACATATGGGCAGGGTCGTATAGTGCCCGAGACGTAGAGTGGGCTGTTAGTAAAAATAACGTTAATTTATAATGGTAGGAACTACTATGGGCCACAAAGTTTTCTCTAAATCCAGGGAAAAATCCTTAGCTCCCTCCTCTCGGCGACACTTCACATAGGAACTAGCAGTATTTCCTCCAACTTAAGTGAAGTTTGAGCTACAATAAACAATAATTTAAAGTGTAATTATAGTTTTAGCTAAAATTGGAAGATAGTTCAGACTGAATGGCTCAACTATAGAATGGCTCAACCATAGCTCAAGCTGAAGGATGGGTTCTTGATCTGTATTTTCCATTATTCTTTAGTCATATACGTTCTTAAAAAAATTGTATTTGTTAATATAAATCGAATAAGATTATACAAATAGGAATTATAACAGCAATTTTATCACAGAGATTTAAAACAAAATAATAGGTTGTAACAAATTTATCAATGAGCCAAGATGTAATATGAATTAATCAATCGTCTTCATTCGATAAATTAATAGTCTTATGAATTTCTATATTTGATTTAAATTAAACTGAAGGTTTATTAATTTAACCTTCAACATCACGAGTTTATTCGAACAGGATTTTAAGAGGATTTTGCTGATTCTTGTTTACGTTCATCTCCTTTCCAGTAAAACATAAATAATAATTTGTATATACGAAGTTTAACTCATAAACAAGAATTCGATTGTATACATTTAATTACGAAGAAAAATATTTAGTTTTATATTAATTTAAATATTCCATAAAATTTATCATTTGGATAATATTAAGTGTTTAAGCGTGACATGTAAAGATACAAAGAGTAGGCCTACTTTCGTGTCGCATCGCGTCGCGTCGCGTTACAAACGCGACGCGAAAGGTACTCTTTGTATCTTTTTTATATGTCATTACGTTCATTTGTATTGTAAAAGGGAGCTAAAATACCTATAAAAAAGTATGAAATGTGAATAATAATAAACTAAACATTTCTAGAATTAATTACTGTATTTTTAAAATATTAAGACCATCGCGTTGACGCATACAATGACGCTTCGGTACATACAACTTATTTATCTAAAAATTAAGTGAAATATTTTACAATATCTTATGTATACACAGCCTTTTGCTAAACTAATAATTTTAAATTTCTGTAATATTCTTATTATTTTTATTTAATACGATCTCATGTAACACGCGCATGTTGAAAACATGGCGGCGAAAAGATAAATCAACTCAACCGAGGGATATTATCAGGCGTGTAAATTGTAAATAAACAATTTTTTTTAACGAATAACCTCGAAATATAAAGTACTACAGTCAGATAACGACACTTTACACATTATAAATTCTTTATTAAAATAATTTATTAAGCTTTTTTAATAATTAAAATATATATAAAATTTAGTATTTTTATTAAGTAAGTATGAATTAAATTTTCATATAAACAGTAGAACGCTTTGATAAATATTATAGACTTTTTATTTATAAACAAAAAAAAGATTTACTTTAAAATAAACATCGTTACTTGCTATCCTTGAAATATATTTTACTCTTTAGAACTTTTTTATTTTAATTTAACAATAAATAAGTGTCATAAATGTAAAGATATTAATTATAAAATAAAGAATAGAGAATAGAGAATAACGTATTATTATCATTATTATTTTAATTTTAAACAGTTTATAAATTCTTGTTTATTTTTATCTTGGTATGTCGAAGGGTTAAAAAAAACGATCATTGACCATAAATTAATTCTTAAAATAACGTTAATTTAACTTAAAGGAAAGGTCGAGTGGTATATCAGATAACATAAACTTAAAATAAACCAATGACAGTACATTTCATTACTGCTAAAATTAATTAAAAACATGCATGAAGTTTTTAAACAATAATACATTATTATATTGTCAAGTAGAACTATAATTTATTCGTTTAATCTTCATTTATTATTACTTTTATTATTAAATGTTTAAAATATCTGTTTTTCATCTACGTTTTTTATAATTCTTCTTAAGAATTAAATAAATCTTGAGCCGTATTATTTAAAAAAAAAAAAAATTTGAAAAGTCTACATCGTTCTTATCCGCCATCTTGAATTTTAACTCGCCGATAGATTTGTGCGGGGACTTCGTAACAAATCGTATTAACTTATATTTACTTATTTACTTAATTAACTTACTTATTTATTTAATTAACTTATATGATTATAAATATAATTGAATAGTTAATAAAACAATTTTTTAATAATTAATGGTGATGTCCGCTTCGTATACGATAAATGATGCGTTGTACGAGACTTAGAGTCGCGTGTTCGTATTGATTATCATCATGACCAAGATTAAATAACGTATTTTCATTTTGAAATTGTCAATGTTTACAAAAAATATTTTAAAATAAAATTTGTTTATCATCTTTTTAATTATTTAGAAAATAAAAATCACACTATACTATATAGATGGCATGTCGATTATTCGGTTTATCGCTACTATTTTCCTCTGAAATTGGCACTAAATCGAGTATAGTGTTAAACTAGAATAGCTCAGGCAAATTGTAGTGTGCAAATGTAGGTTCATTACTACACTGCTGGCCATTAAAATTGCAACACCAGGAAGGAATGATCGTATGAACGTCAAAATCATATGAAAGGAAGAAGAGGTTGGGATATGCAAATGATTAGTATTTCAGTGCATTTAGACAATGCAGGAGGGATGACATCTGAAGCACTACATAAAAGAAAAGTTGTGCAGTGATTTCTCATTCGGAAATCGCTTTGTAAGGTCAGGGTTTCATCAGAATATTGTGTTATGCCTCGAATAAGAAGAAGAAATGCTTACCAGCAAGTGTTGGAATTCAATAGAGGCAGGATCATTTCCTATCGAGAGTGTGGATTATCGTTCTGTGATATTGCCACTTGCACTGGTCGAAATCCAACCACTATCATGTGAATATGGAATCGATGGGTTGCTGAGGGTCTTACTGAACAGCATGCAGGATCTCAACACCCTCCCATGACTAATGTCTGAGAGGACAGACATATTGTGAGGTCGGCCGTGCAAAACCGTACAACCACATCACAAACCATTAGTCAGGAAATGAGCTTGTTTGCAGCACGTCCAGTATCTGCTTGTACTGTGCGACGACGTTTGCAGCAGCGTGGACTGTCAGCATGGTGACCATTACTTTGGCTTCCCTTGACAATGCAGCATAGAGAGAGACGACAACTCTGGTGCACCCAACGACAAAGCTGGATATAGGAGTGGCACAATGTCGTCTTTTCAGACGAGTCCCAGTTCTGCATGCAGCATTCCGATGCCGTATACGTGTCTGAAGGCTCTGAGCAGATCACTCGTCACCTGCTTGCATTTGATATTGGCTTAGGGGCCCTGCACCTGGTGTGATGATATGGGCAGCCATTGGGTACACGACACACACATCTCTAGTTCGGATTGATGGTAATTTGAACGCATATCGGTATATTTCTGACATTTTACATCCAGTGGTTGTGCCCTATCTTCGAGGCCTGCAAAATGCCATCTTCCAACAAGATAATGCAAGACCTCATGTTGCACATCATGTTCTGACCTTCCTTGATGCAGAGTATATTCAATTGTTGCCCTGGCCTGCATGGTCTCCAGATCTTTTACCAATTGAAAATATCTAGTCATGGGTTGCTGAGAGACTGGCCTCCACCCCTCTCCTGCTAATACAGTTGATGAAATATGGCATAGACTTAAAGCAGCATGGAATGAGTTGCCCGTTTCTGTCATCCAAGCCCAGTTCGACTACATGCTTAAACGGATAAGGGCCATTTTAGCCGCCGGGGATGGCAACTGTCTACTAATTTCGCGCCCCTGTAAATCCCCAAACTGCTTGCAAATTTAATCATTTTGTCTTTATGCCATACTGTTTATGTACAATAAATATCTTTTTTTATTTGCTTTCCTTCTTGGTGTTGCAATTTTAATGGCCAGCAGTGTATATAGCCTAAGCAGTAAATTTAAGAGTGAAGTAGACCTACTCTATTTATGGATAGGATCAAAGTGAGGGAGAAGCTCTTATGCCAGGGATTATATAAGCCACACCGAATTTTATAACGAAATTTTAATTATAAAGTCTAGTAATTTCAATGAAAGAAGAAAAAAAAATGATGACACGTCAGAAGATATAAAGGGGACCACCCGATAGGTCCTGGTCCCACGGCCTGTTATCACTGTCAATGGCCCTGTTTGAGTTGAAATTATATTAGTTGAATAGATATAATAGAAACAATAGTTGAAAGGTTTACTGTACAGTACTTGCAACTATTCATTGGCGCTTTACCACGATGAGGCCTATTTCGACGACTACGAGAATATAATTTCATAAGGTGATAAAACTATCTTAATTTTTAAATTTTGGCGGGTTAACTTGCGTATAAGCGTGCCATTTTATAATATTTAATAAATATTAAAACTTTTTATAACAAAATCACATAACAGATGGCGCCACAATTATTTATTTATTTATTATGATTAATAACATAAATGTTATTTTTAAAATAAAATCTCATAACAGCTGGAAAAGTTACGCAACTTGTTGCTAGAATTTTTATGATAAAGGTTAAAAGAAGAAAATCTAGAAAAGCTTCCATTACAAAATTAAGCCTTCAAATACAGTTTACATTAATTAAACGACATAAGCATTTAGCATTTGATTTGCATAAATATCCATGGTAATGTTAATGTCTGGTTACATTTTGTTGGGAAAAAGAACTGAAAATTAATAATATTAATAACTATAAATTACGTTTATTTTAAAGTTTTAATAAATTATTATTTGTAAGTGTTTTAGTGTGGGAAGATGCAAATTACCTGCGTGTTCTTATTAAATGAATTTCTTAGGTAATCTTATATGTAGGAAGATAAGACAGTGTAATTTCTCAGTCATACAATGGCGATAAAGTTAATTCTTCTTATTCTCTGTTCAGTTGCTTATTGCAAAGGTAAAATAATTATTGTTTAATTATCTTGCATTTGTTTATAATTGTCTAATTAGTTTCCAGGGATGATATTCGACACATCGACGGAATCGATGAAGCGTTAGAGAAAGGGATTAACTGGTTGAAAAAAGAAAGAGAACAAAATTGTGGTTGGAAAGATACTGCAAGAGCAATCGTTGCCCTCTTCTTAACTGTAGAAGAATTTGATAAATATGAAAAGGAATTAATGGCAAAAGAATTTGATTTAGCTGTCTTCTTACAACTTCGGTATGTTTTTTATTAGTAAAGTGTTTTTATTATTTTTTTAACATCCTAAACTTACTACTACTACTAGGAATATTAACTCCCTGCTCGTAGAAGAAATGGCTCTAAATATAAACGCGATGATAGCTGCCTGCCGTAATCCTAAATATTACTATAACATAGACTTCATTCAATTGATGCTAAATCGTATCAGACATCAGGCACACATATCATCTCCGTTAATCCCTCTTGTATTCTGTAATGCTAACGTTTCTGAAGCCCGAGATTATCACGATACTCTAATAAGTTTTATGAACCTAGATGGTCCAGAACCGAGATATGGTAAGATGTCTTGCAGCTTTAAGCATTGACAGTGCGATATAATATATACATTTATAATTTTCTCAGCTGACTTGAAGGTGTTCAGTGCGTTAGCAATTGAATGTATTTATCAAGAGGAAGAACATAAACACCACCGTTATTCCAGCAACACATTAAAAAGTCAAAAGGAACTTCAAAGCAGTGACGGAAGCTTTGGAAATATCTATCTGACTGCTTTAACAGTGCAGGTAAGTGTTTTTGTTTATGAAAGAGAAAACAAATTCGTGAACTTTTTTTTTCTTCTTTTAGTTGGCTCTTGCTACAGGTGACTTGTCGGAAGAAATTGAGAACGCGATCAAATACTTGATCTCTAAGCAACTCGAAGATGGGTCGTTTGGAAATATGATGACAACTTATTTTGTCTTGCCAATTTTGGCAGGCAAGACACTTATTGACTTGAAATATACTAAATGCGAGGAGGAGGAATGTCGAAGCAAGTCTGCTTAGAAAATTTTTTTTCCTTAAATTTAATCGATTTAACTTTTATGGCCCCTTTTTTTTTATTTATCAGAACCGGCTTCATATTCCGTCGACTTAGATCCTAATGTGAAACTCGAATCTGTACTCTTTCAATTAATGCTCGATGAAAAGAAGGAAGCGACCCGATCGATAGTGGTAAAAGTTCCTTCGCAATCGAAATTTCTTGAAGTCATGAAAGTTGCAGCTTCCCGAGATGCCGCTTACAGGTGAAAGTTTTACCTATCAGGTTGATCTGCGCCGTCCTAAATGTATCGTGCTATATGCCATATTTAATTAATAATAATCTGTAGATTCGAATATTCTGGTGATGAAGGAAAGGAAGTAGTTCATAGCATCGGTGGTAAGTATAATGATCCAGAACTTCAAAAATATTGGGAACTCTTTATGCATGACAAGGAACAGACTAGGCTTATGTCAGGTATAAGATTTGCTGCATATTATAAACATGACTTGCTCTTCTTTTTTAAAGTCTTTTTTTTTATCTTTTAGTTTCTGATCCAATACGCCCTGGAATATATTCCTACAGTTTCAACTATAAAGCTAAGCATGGTTAATGTGGACTTAAAATTGTATGGTTTTTTTTTTGTTGTAAAATAAAGGCTTCATAAAACAGTTGTACGTTCAGTGTTAAATAGTACAGTTTAGTACCCGTTGAAATAGTATGTTTATCAATCTTGCCATCTGTGTTTTAATTTTTTTCCACACTAAGCTATAATAGTTAACGAATTGTTCGTTTTCTTACTTGATACAGAAATGACGTGGGGATTCCGAAGTATATGTGAAAGGGGTTGAAAACTAATAAAAATTATTATAATAATCTGAAGTTGGATCAGGTTAAATGCGCTATAATCTAGAGAACTGACTTAAAAGCGCTGTTTATCCCAAACATTACACTCGCTAAATGGAATAATTCTTGTTTGTTTTGTATATTAGCAAAGAAAACATTATCGGAATCTGGTAAAAAGCACAATACACTACGATAAACTTTAATAATCAATATTTATTTTAATATTGACAGAATGATGATAAAAAGGGAATCTTATTTAGGCGATTAAGTTTGAAAAAAATAGCGCGATAAAAAAATCCAGCAACGAGTTGCGCAACTTTCTCTGCAATAAAGTTAACAGATAATTTGATACACCTTTTTGAGATTATATTAGCTAATAACTTTTTTGAGCTTAGAGATGAGTTTTAAGATAAGATTTTTTTTATAAAATCAGTTGACCCGATTAAAGAGGGTTATCATATCTCGATCTTCCTATTCCCTTGACCCTTTTAACCATCAAAATTTAATAGCATCAACCCCCTAATATAGTTCTCCCTGCAAAATTTTGGAAATTTTCGACAAAAAGTTTAAGGTACAAATTAGGCGAACTAGACATATCGAAACCCTCACTAAAATTCGCGTTAAAATAGTTTTTGGAAAGGGGGAAAAACCAGCTAGAAATAAATGTATGAAAATTACAAAAACAATAGAACAATGTTATCGTCGAAAGTCCTAAGATCGACCATATCCAGTTGGTATCGAATTAAACATAGATTTTGGCAAGTTGAGATCTCGTTACGCTTATCGAGTGACCAACCACGAGGTTGGTCACTGGAATTAATCAATTAGGGAAATAAATGGCTCCCACTTCGAGCATCTATATATCATATGCAAATATGCATGTAATTTCATAGTCGAGGAAACTTTGTGTTTTGTTTACTACGTTTTCGTGTATATTGTTTTATATTTTAATTATCTCAGTTTTATTTTAGTACTTGTCTGTTAATGAGACCAAGCCAGTCCATTTAACAGCTTCTTGTAAAGAAATCACTATTTTATTATATATATAAGACATTTACAAGAAGCTGACATTGGCAAACAGTTACAATTAGCGTAACGTTATTTGTTTACTAATTTTATCAAAAACAATTAAAATTTATAAAAATTAGGCCCTAGTAACCATGTTTGGTACCATTCCGTATAGCATAGCATTTGTCATTAGTGATCTTTCTAGGATATTATTTAACTGGAATTTATGTTAAATTTTCTTTAAAAAATAAGCTATTATAAACTAAAAATTCTCCTGTCAAGCATGACTAAACACTTACTGGAGCTATCTTTTTTTTAAAGTTTAAATTTAATTAAGTAAATTCAAAATTACGCCATTTGCCAAAAAATTTAAAAATGCAACTTAATGAGAACATTTTTCCTCTTATTTTTAAGATTTTTATTTTGAAGCCATTCTTTTCGAAAGGACCGAGAATACTTTGTTCACTTACTCATTTTAATACCAATAATAAATTATAAAACATATAAATTATACTATATAGTGTTACCACCCGTCCGGTTTTCGCCCGGAGAGTCCGGGAATCGACTCACTGTCCGGGTGAACTATTAATTTTGTCCGGGAATATCGTGCGCAACCTGTCGACCTTTTTTTTTACGATTCGTATTCGTACACGTGTCCAATATCCAATAGAGCTAAGTCATCTGTAGTTGTTTTTTTCTTAATTTAGTTACTTACGCTACTCCTACCCAAGTCTCCCTAGTCCCTAACTAACTGATTTAGAACCGGCATGCACTGCACGTCAACGTTGCCACAATGAAATTTCTAAACGTACTGATGCTCCTTAAAAAAATGTAGTACTTCTATGGTTGGTTACTTTTAGTATTAATATACCATCATACTCAATTTTTGTGCTTATTTCAAATTCATATTCACGAATACATTGTTAAATATGAATACTTTAAAATTAAATATTTCATAGAAACTAATTTCATAAAATATTTTTATGGTTTTTTGTTAAATACAGCATTAAAAGTTGATTTTTTAAAAATATTATACTGATGAATAAAAAAAATTATAAATTAAATATGCGTGGACAGATTCAAATTAAAAAAGTTATTTCTTTCACAATGATTACTGAAATTGAAGTTCATAATTAAGAATTAAATTATAGTGGTAGAAAATAATATAAAGTATTTATATTATTTGTACTGTACATTGTCAGTATATGTGTCATGTCACCCATGAATGTGTGACGCAGCCTTTTAAACCTACGATTCGTTACCCAAATTTGTTAATGGCTTTAAAAATATATGTTTTACGGAAATGTCTTTTGCAGGTTCTGAAATGTCGCCATACTCCATTTAATTCCATGTAGAATGCTAAATAAATTTTTTTGGTATCATTATATAAAATAATTTTATAACGAGCAGTTATTACTTTAAACTCGATGTTTTTTTTTTTTTAAATCTTTTCGCCCTATGGACACTAAGAGGACCTCTTTTTGCAAACCCATTACGAGTTCCGCCAGGCCCACAATGGGGCTGCCGGGTGGTGGAGGACGGGGCCCGACATATCCGAACGGACCCCCCGAAAACTTCCTGGGGATTTTTCGACCCGTTCGGATTTGAGCCAGGGTCCCCAGAGCGGTAGGCTGCCACCTTGACCGCTCGACCATCCGGCCTTAAACTCGATGTATGTAACAATGAATTAATAACGAAACAATACTCTAAATTCAATAATAAGTTTCTTTATATTACTTAACTTACAAATTTAAAATATATTTATTATACATGGATCGGATTACAACACATTGCAACGATCAAAAGCAGATCAATCTCTCAAAATCCGTTTTGTCTGAATGTAGCGATAGACTAAAATCCATGTTACACTCTTTTTCAAACACCACATCAATCTCTCTTTACTTACCATCCTCGTCAAATGTTTTGCAACAAATCAAAGAGTGAGTATCTGTAACTATCTTTTAAAGACTTATGTTTAAATATTCTAATTTGCATTAATATTATTTTCTTCTGCTATAACGATAATCATAATCTATTTCAAATCATAACAGTAGTTCTAATTACAGTTCCTTTCTAATCACATTTTCTGTTTATAGATATTTGGAAGAAAGACGAGAAACCATAAAATCAATGCAAAATGCGATGGACGTGTTCTCCATAAGCAAACGACTAAAATTACCTGATTTAAATAATGTATGTCGCGATTTCATGACCGATCCATCAAGACTTAAGGACGTGTGTTATGTATATGAGTTTGCAAGTCAACAGGACGATAAGAAATTAGAATATTTGTGCTGGAATATATGAAGTTCGAGATGGCAGGAAATTTTCTCATCGGATGAATGGCTAAACTGTGAAGCAACAACCATGAATAGACTCGTTCGCAGGCCAATAAATCGATTTATTGAGGAAGCAGATGTCTTCAAAATAGTTTTAAAATGGGCCAAGAAAAGAGTTAATAATGAAAATTCTCTAACGCAGGTGATGAAACCACTCCTTCAATACATACGATTTCTGACAATGCCTGAATGGTTTCTGGAATCTCAGGTATTCATTGAACCGATTTTAACTAACATAGAGAGAGATGCAATAAGATGTTACTTGCAAAATAAGGATTTCGACGAAACGTGGTTTATTCCGGACAGTATTTGTGCCATTATATGCCCAAGAAAGCACGAATTGCTCTCTTCCTGGTTGTGTTATGTGAATAGAAGTGCATACTTTATTAACAAAGTAAAAATAATGAATACAAATATTCGATTCATATGTGACATAGTTGCGAAGGAAGACTGTTTCATTAACAAATTGCATCTTCCTATAACACATTGCAGAAAAGAAGGAATACCTGTAAGCTTAAAGTTTTTTCTTAACTTGAAGTTACGGACGAAATATCGTTTCAAAACAGCATGTAATACGAACGGATATATTTCATCGAGTCGTCCTCTATGGATTCCAAAGTTTACATTTTATCGATTGATTGTTAGAATTGTAGATACATACATCACGGCAGAAAATAACATAAGAATCAGTCTCTCGGAAAATTACTACAATACATTCGAAGGAATTCAAAGTTTTAAATATTTGCAATCTGGATTGAAATTGAATGATAAATTGGAGTACATCTGTTTCGATGTCGTACCCGATTTTTAAAGACAGATACTGAAATTCGATTTCGTTCTTATGATATAATGCTAATTTCGTAATATCTAAAAATTATATATTTTAATTTCGAATAATTAAATTTAAATTTTACTATTGAAGTTTCTTCAATTATTTAGGTTTTAATTTTTGAATGTATCTTTCTATGGTCAGAAAGAAATGATGATGTTTATTTAATGTCTTGTAATCTCTTCCCAATATGCATCTACATTCATTCCCTATTCAAATTTATTATATTTGCATTTTTTATAATACAAAAATGTTCTACTATTCTTTTTTAAAACAATTTTTAACTTTATATAATATTTTAATATTATTTCTATTTTACCATCATATTGATTACAATGTAAATACCACGGAGATTCCTGCCTTTTTAACATAATTTCGGCTTCATGTTCTTTCAACCGCACTTTCAATTTCCTTCCCGTTTGTCCAATATAATATTTCGGGCATGGACATGTACACGACAACCCATAGATGACACCACTAGTTTCAAGTTGTTCATTAAATATATTGGAATCTTCACTATTTATAACATTAATTATATTCATCAGTCTATTTTTTTTTGCTTTGCCACTAAACGTATAGAAAAATTTAAAAAACCGGTTTATATTTTTCAAATAAATTATTTATATATGGAAATTTATTATATAAATTGTCTGTTGTTTGATTTTTTATTTTATATCTATTATTTAAATAACTGCTTTACCAGTTAATTTATTGTTTGGGTAATCATTTAATAAATATTTTTTAAAAAGTTTTTCAATTTCTGCTTTTATGTCTTCTTATAACGTCGTCCTATTTAGTGTTTTCATCAAACATTAAATGAACATCAACCGGCAGTTAATTTTATCCACTGATGAGGCCTGATCGTAAGGCGAAATGCATTTGGATTTTGTGAATTTACTGAAAATGAAATTGTTGAGAATAAAAGCTCAGTATTTTATTGTTATTCATTTGTCTGCATACAAGTCTCTCGAAGTCGGATGTAAAGAGTACATTTAGTTGTTTTAGTCTAGAAATTATTTATATTTAGAATATACAAATTTTACTAATATAGTTACCGATTCCATTGGCTGTAATTACTGTATATGAATACTGATATTTCATTGAATGTTTTGGTCAGTATAATCAGAGTCTGTAGATTAACTGGTCTTTCGGCTTTGTTCTTGCCATGTGTATACTGAAGTCAGTGATTTCGACCTATAATAATTGTTTTTTTTAACTACATAAAAATGCTAACGTGCTTTGTGCCAGGATGCGAGGCAGGATATAAGTCATCTAACGAGAAGAGACATTTTTTCCGTGTTCTTAGAGATAAGATTGAGGAGTGGATGCGATGCATATCACGAGACGACAAGATGCTAACAAGTAAATGTTACGTTTATGACGTACATTTTGCGAGTAGATTTATTTTAAAACCTACTCCCATGTTATAAATGGAGAGAAAATAGAAATTCCACAAGATCGCTGGGCATTAACGTCGGATGCATATCCATCAATCTTCCCTAATTGTCCTAAGTACGTTAGTAAGTCTGTACCTCAAAACGATCAACGCATGTCTCACAAGAAATGAAGAACCAACTAGGAAGAGATCCCGAAAAGACAATACCAAAGGTAAATATAAATATTTATGTAATCTTAATCCTCAGTGAGTCATGTAACTTTTTGCCCTTGCCTGAGTCCCAGTGGGTCTCTCGGACCACGTGTTTTAATATGAAATTATTAAATTTTATCTATCGCGTAAAAAAACTACAATTTCACCGTTAAAATCCGCGCTTAGTTTTTTTTCTTTCTTTATTGCTGTATTAATGACAAAATTGCGTTTTTAATGTTTATTTTTTATCAGGGGCGTGCCGTGACATTTGATGATAGGGAAGCTGTGTTCTATAAGAAGCCGACATCCAGGGGCAATCAGTTAATTCTTTCTTTAAATGTATTTTTAATAGATTATTTATCTGACGTACTTAATAAACAAGTTCATTATAATTACCTCTGTCATTAGATCCAATATATTCCATATGCCCTCTAAATGCCAATTCTTGCTTTGATAAAAACATATAACATCTATTTATTTANATTTATATTTAGAATATACAAATTTTACTAATATAGTTACCGATTCCATTGGCTGTAATTACTGTATATGAATACTGATATTTCATTGAATGTTTTGGTCAGTATAATCAGAGTCTGTAGATTAACTGGTCTTTCGACTAATAGTTCAAACTTAGCTAGAGACAATATTTGCCGCTAGTTGGCGTCACTGTTAGCAGAAGAGCTTTGTTCTTGCTATTTGTATACTGAGGTCAGTGATTTCGACCTATAATAATTGTTTTTTTTTAGCTACATATAAATGCTAACGTGCTTTGTGCCAGGATGCGAGGCAGGATGTAAGACATCTAACGAGAAGAGACATTTCTTCCGTGTTTTTAGCGATAAGATTGAGGAGTGGATGCGATGCATATCACGAGATGACAAGATGCTAACAAGTAAGTGTTACGTTTATGACGTACATTTTGCGAGTAGATTTATTTTAAAGCCTACTCCCATGTTATAAATGGAGAGAAAATAGAAATTCCACGAGATCACTGGGCATTAACGTCGGATGCATATCCATCAATCTTCCCTAATTGTCCTAAGTACGTTACCTAAGTCTGTACCTCAAAACGATCAACGCATGTCTCGCAAGAAATGAAGAACCAGCTAGGAAGAGATCCCGAAAAGACAATACCAAAGGCAAATATAAATATTTATGTAATTTTAATCCTCAGTGAGTCATGTAACTTTTTGCCCTTGCCTGAGTCGCAGTTGGTCTCTCGGACCCTGTGTTTTAATATGAAATTATTAAGTTTTATCTATCGCGTAAAAAACTGCAATTTTATCGTTAAATTCCGCACTTAGTTTTCTTTCTTTCTTTCTTGCTGTATTAAAAATTGCGTTTTTAATGTTTATTTTTATATAATTTGAGAGCTAAGAAACACGATTATCGCGTAGCTATCATTCTTTTATTTATATTATTTCATAACGTTTAGGGTGTAATTAGGTAACTTCTAGTTGTTTGATTCTGTTTGAACGAGTAAGCATTTTCTCAGAAATGTCTGGTGGAAGATTGACTACAATAAGAAAATCGCTCTGTCTACGTAAATCAAGGTAAAACTGTAAACAAATGTTAGATAATCGCTATTTTCGTCGTTTTTCAGCTCCAATTTAGCTCTAATTTACATATTTATTGACGTTATTTAAACGAATAAGTGTTTTGATAGAAACATTTTGTGGTAAAATTGCCCGCAAAACTAAAATACTTTTGGTTTAATTATTTTCCACGATTACGCAACATTTAGAAGTAATGAGTGAAGTCAAATAAAAAAACTTTGTAACTGCATGTTGATCGTGTTGATCGGACTGAAAAGTTGGAAGAATATAAATATTTTCAGTATTTTTATATTTAAAAAAATGTTAACTAAAGATTGAGCTGGGAGACCCACTGTGATTCACTGAGGGCTATCTATCTCTCTGTGGCCCACCTTTCCTAATAAATACTTTAAGATTAATTGTCTGATATTTTTTTTATCAATTAAAACTGACTTAGTATAATGATTATATAATCTTGCATTAAACTCTTAACTTATGTTTTCTTTTCAATTAGCGTTTTTTTTATTTTTGGAATGATAAGACAAGGAAGTGGAAGCAATTCTCATCCCACAACAGTGCAGTTCTTATACCTGTACAGACTGATGACTGCGTACAGTTTGGTTCGTCCTCCCAAACGAGTATCAGTTCAAACTGATCCTGGATCTATCCTTATTACTTCACATATCCGAACGGACCACCCCCCGACAAATTCCTGGGGATTTTTCGACCCGTTCGGATTCGAATTCGGGTCCTCCAGAGCGGTAGGCTGCCACCTTGACCGCTCGGCCATCCGACCGCATCCATTAGCCACTGGTAGGGAGCCATTTGACTAAGTGCATTGTTTTAAGATTTAAAAAGTAAAGAATATTTTATACTTTTATGTACGTTTCTTTACAAAGCTATATTTAATTATAATTTTCTTTAAAAGTATATTCGTACAATTGAAGAATATTTTGTACCGGGTATGTACCGGTACGTCCACCACACATTTTATTTCACCAAGTAAGTTTTTANGCCTAACAAAGACAATTGTATCGTTAAAAATTATTTTTTTTATTTTGTACAAACAAAATAAATTTATTGAAAAATATAAAAACAATAAAAAATCATACTCCAGTAGTTAATTTAGTATCAAAAACGTAAAATATTTGAGTAGCCCGAGAAATAGCCGAAGATTGCAGCGCCACAGCACTAGCGAAAATTTAAATTTGCCGACTGGAATCGTTTCGGATAACCAGCTTTCGGATAAACGACGCTCTACTGTATTTAACATTGACAGGTATCGGCACCCTGGGGATTTGGCAGTCCGCGTGTATGCACGCTTTGCAATCGTCTTCGATTCCATCCATTAGCCACTTGTAGGGAGCCATTTGACTAAGTGCATTGTTTTAAGATTTAAAAAGTAAAGAATATTTTATACTTTTATGTACGTTTCTTTACAAAGCTATATTTAATTATAATTTTCTTTAAAAGTATATTCGTACAATTGAAGAATATTTTGTACCGGGTATGTACCGGTACGTCCACCACACATTTTATTTCACCAAGTAAGTTTTTATTATTTTATTTATAATTTTAGCCTATATATCGTGGCTAACGATTCGGAATGTTGTGATATTAAAAATGCATTTAAGGAAGTGTACGATTTTTACTGGCTTATCAAATAAACGATACGAATGGACCCTATACCGTCACTGACGCGCAATTGACTGATTGCCCCTGGATGTCGGCTTCGTACGTAAACACAGCTTTCCTATCATAAAATGTCACGGCATGCCACTAATGTCAATAACGAGTAAAATCATCAAAATCTTAAATCAGTTAAATGTTCATTCTATTGCAATTGTGAGCTCGGTTGAACCAAGAATGGACCTGTAAAGTATATGTCCTCTTAGTGTCTACAGAA